AATAAATTTGGAATACAGTCTCTGCTCTACCAAATGATTACACGGTCTACAGTCAACAGACATTTGATAAATTGACTATTTAGGTAATGGAGGAAGGCCTGGAACATAGGTGAACATGCTCAGATGGGCAGAGAAATTAAATCCAGCTGTCTCCTGTCTTAAACTAACACTCTAAGCACTGAAGTACAAAATAAGGGTAGAGGTACCACCGCCTTTTATTCTGACTCTCACTTGTAAAGACAAATATTCTCACTCACAGCTTAACGCAGGAAAAGCAATTGTCTCCCACATTCTGGGCGAGTGCTAGTGACCAGTCTATAAGTAAGAACACAAACAGGATGTAGTAAAGTCCCATGGGACCATATAAGGAAACATTTGAGCAGATAATCTGATATTGGAAATAGAACCGACAGTTATTTCTTCTGAGTAGTGATATGGGGTATGCCCAATTCGGGGGGGGGAGAAGGCAGGAAACTGCATGAATTGGTACTTGTGTTACTTCCTTTCTCTGGAGCACCTTTAACCAGCTGCATCACAAATGAAGGCTGATTCAAGCCAAAAAAGTCACAGAAAAGGTTTTTTTCTTTGAAGATCTCCCAAATAAACTTCTTGACTGTCTTAGAATATGTGTCAACTGGAAAGTAAACTCCTAATGCTTTCCTCCATCTATGTCTTAACAAATTTCATCCTAACATACTCCACTAGGTTCCCATTTCCATGTTTTGCCATCTGGATCTCATCTTTATAAATACAAGTTACATTCACCCACTTGGCTCACTTCATCTGTAGAGACTTGTTAAACGGCTTTAAAGATGATTTACTAAAAAAGCTAGAGTGTAAAGATTTAACAGCAGAAGAGATTAATTTAAGTAGAGAACTTCTTACTTTAATGTCGAAATTATGTTACCAATGATTTTTGGCTTCCCATATTGATCAGCTGATTTCTGCCCTATTTACATTTGCTCTCTGGCTCTACATGTCTGTACTACCACATAAATTACTCAGAAAGCTCCCAAGTTCACAGCACTGATCTAGTCACAAATTTCAAATGTCTGACATACAAACGTGTAATGTCAGAAGATTAAAAACCAAAAAAAAAGTCCACACACTAGTGCTTTGTTTCTGAAGCAGTACAGAACACATTTACTAAGCCCAAGAGAGTTAAAGTTTAATTTAAACTCATTTTCTTTTGCTCACTGAATTATGTTTTTCCCCAAAACAGCACCAAGCTTCAACAAAGTAACATCAATCTGAACAGTTTTACTCACTCAGTTACTTCAGATATATTTTAAAGTCGTTTTAAAAGTTCATATTTAAATGCCAAACTCTATTCTAAGTTTGAAAAATAGTAATAAAAAAAGACCTTGGGAGAATTACTAAGAACGTAAATAGTATGCCAACTAATTGCTTTTGCCTTCTCCAGATCAGCACAGAGCCGCCTTCTTTCCAGTTAACGTTGTTATATCTTCAGTAGCTCAAGTGATATAGACGCACGCTTGCAATTGAAGTTTTGCATTTTATTCTTTAAAATTATGTACCGGAGCGTATCTTTAATCATGGTTTGCTCCTTCACTCTGGAAAAAAAAAAGGGAGAAAAAAAGAGACTAGGCGCTGAGTTTGCTCCTTCTCAAAGTACTTGGCTTGTATCTCCCCAGCATTTTCAGATGTAAATGCCCCTACGCTCTCCTTCTCTGAACCTACGTATAACTGGTAAGATACACCAATTCAGGGTTCTACACGCCTTAGCACTTGATATTGTTAACTCCGTCCCAGCAACATGCCACTAGTCATTCCAACGGGAATTGTTTTTTTATCATTAAACACTTTATGAAGTACTTCAAACTCCACCCAAAAAGCAACAGGTAGATCCCAGAAAAGTAGTGCCATAAGCTTTACTGAGATGCCCTTCTGGCAAAGGAACCACTGCATGCTGCTCCAGTATCAATTTAAAAATGATTTTTTATTTAAGTGCAGTGAAAGAGGTGTAGGTCAAAAAGGAAAGCCCAGTCAAAAACCTATTTGGATTACTTCTGTAATATGCTATCAAGCAGCTAGACTAACTTTGGCTATTCAAGTTTTCATTTGACTAGAGATCTAACAGCAGACCCACTGTCTTCAGGGACTAATATTGCTCCTGGCTGCTTCTCAATACCAACCAGCAGTCCAACTTTTTCTGGGCTAAGCTTCAATCTGCTTGTCCAACCTGAGCTAGGCACCAGCTGGGACATGGAACCACACCTTCTTCAGCAAATGGGCTAGGAAAGTCACACTACCTTCACTGTAAGTATCTGCAGACTGAAGGAAAATATTACCTAGAAGCCTTCTAACTTCCCAAAAGGTTCTCAAGAATTTTAAGGTCATTGGATGACTTGGGATCCCTTTACAGCATACACCTAACAGATTTCCAGTTTTATGTCATGATGTATCTCCTGATTGGTTGGTGCTTCACTCGTAAGCTGAGGAAGACTGAAGAAAACAGACAAATTAAGGACTCAACTGTTTTCTAAGAACGTGGTAAAATACTGACCTTTGAAATTGCTTCCCAGTCTATACAAAGAGAACAAAACAAAACTGCATCCACTGTATTTGTAACTGTTGAGACTGCAAAGAACAGTCAAAAGAACTGGGTTTGATTTGGCAACAATTTCTATTCCCACCATGATCTTTATTTCAATTGTTTGGTGCTATTCTCTGACATTGTTAGAAGTCACCTTGCCAAGAGCCTGTCATTTTCCCATTCCACTGCACTTGTCACCATAATGAATTACCATCCTGCATTAGCGCTTCCAAAAGCCTCCCAACAGCAACTGTAGCAAGAGCAAAAAATGATGCAAAACTCAACATGATGTATCATCACTACAGCATTGAAACTCTACTTGTCACAGGCTGTAATTAGACTTGGGCTAAGGCAACGTTAGCTCAGCTGCCTCTGAACACACCTGTTTCAATTTAATTTGTAATAATTAGGAAGCCTAGGGCACCAGGAAAAAAATGCTTTTCAGTTACTGTTTCAAATAGTAGAGTTTTCATGTGCCATTTAAAATTCTGTTTTTCAGAACAGACTGCTTGCTGACTTGCTAATGCTAGCAAAATGAAATAAAGCAAAATATTTTTAGCAGCAGGAAGTTGTTACTTGCTACTGCCAATTACATGCCTTGTACTTGAACAGTGACATTTTTTCCCCTTTGCTAATTCTTCAAGATAGGTAAAAGCTGGCTAACAGTGCATGAGGATATGAACAAAACTTAGTCCCCTGGAGCTGGCCGACACTAGCGGAGTAATAGCCAATACTGGCAACAATCGGCTGTGACAGAGCAAACAACAGTGTCCTAGATCCACTCTTCAGTAAAGGGGGAAGAAGAAGAAGATTAAGCAATAGACTTGGATGTATTGACTTTGGCAAAAGGCTGAATATCTTGTCATGCTAATAAAATTACTGAATCTGGAGGAGGAGAAAATGGGGCAAAGGGGGAAAAATAAAAGTAGTGTAAAAATTACATAAGAATAGATATTTATACACTGAGTTAATCTACCAAACTGACAGAGATGAATCATCTGCCATTAAAATAATGGGACACAAGGTTTCTTTACATTACAGTCATTATTTACAACCCCTTTCATAGATGATTCAAATATCTTTTAGTTTAAAGTGTGATCTTGCAGGCCAAAAAAAAAAAACTGTTGGCCAAAATAAGTTTCTACAGGAATGGTGCCCAAAAAATGATTTCTTCAAAAACAGGATATATCTTAACAATCATCACGGCACTTTTTGTTTTTGTTTTGCACCTACACTTACAAGCCCCATCGGGCTCAAGCAGGTCACACAGAACAAGACCTCTACTAACACCACAGTGACACCAGGTAACAACCAGCATCAGTGGTATAGCCAGACGCACCTACTTATGACTTCTTTAAATATAACATGATCTCTTTTTTTTTTTTTTTGAAATGACATACGACCCTGCTTAGATGCGGAATGATTTTCACAAGCTGAAAATCCTACTGAAACCAAAAAGGTGACTCTCAGTGAACTAACTTGAACATATATTTCTGCAGGTAAAGGTCTATCATTTTAATTCTGAGAGTAACTTGCCTTTTGTCAGCCATGATGCCATCAGAAAGATAACATACTACTGTATATTTTTCCATCTTAGAACACACGAAAAAATGGATCTGGAAAACTTACAGCAATTCTGACTATTGTTCTGACTATTTAAGAATGGTTTTAATATCATCAGTCATTATTTTCCATAGACTGACATGGATGTGTACTTAAACACTGGACAAGAAAACAGAAAAAGAAATTCATACAATAAAATGGGTTTTAATAGTTACCACCATCATGCCACAAACTAAGTGAACTGTGTGGAATATAACAGTGTTCACTTGAAGCTTTGTTTATATAATATGTATGGGACACCCATTTGCCATGCATGACCTTAAAACAATCAGAAATCAGAAAGTACACGAAAGCTGTATCTTTTATTCATTTGTCTTTGCTTCTTCAATGGGCAGTTTCTTTACAATCCAGGTTTTTAATTTTTCTATTTCAGTTCTGCTTAATTCATGATTAAGGTTTGGAAAAGTGTGGAATGATGCTGACACCCCCAGTGACTTTAACATCTTGTTAGTCTCTTCACCCCAAGAGCAAAGAACTAGTTCATCAGCCGTTCCATGACACTGAAATAATTCTGGAAGGACACCTTCATTTCTGCCCAAAGCCTGGATGGAAAAGAAACATTGTCAGACAAAGCATTAGAAATTTTCAAAGAATAGAGTTACACGGTGTCTCTGTAACAAAGCAATGACAATTTGCATAGCATTTCATCTACTAATCTGCCTTTTAGGGGGCATATTGTACTGCCTGTACAAAAGCAAACAATGAAAGATCCCTGAGGAAAAAACCCGCACTTCAAATTCTTCTGATGTGCTAACTCTGACAAATGATACGGTTTAAATTTAGGGCTATGTCCTTCTTCAAATAAAAGAAACAGAAAAAATTCATGACAGCAGATGGAGCCTGTGAGTATTATAATTCACTTCACATTTCCAAAGAATAGTTACAATTACATGGAATCTCTGATAACTAATGACAACTTACATCAACTTACTAATGACATTTCATTTGTTAATCTGGCTTCTACACTGACTTATTTTGAACAAAATAATTGGACTGTATGTGCAAAAAAAGCAATGAAACATCATTAAGGGTAGTTTTAAAGCCTCTTTTTCCTAATACTCTTCTTATCAATTTTCAGGAAATTTCTTATGTTTAGAATATTAATTGCCCAAATGGAGAAACATGCCAGATTTAATTTTAATCTTTTAGCTAAGAAGTATTTCTGTAAAGCCTACCACATACTCACCTGGTAAACAGCAGATTCTTTATTGAGAAAACTAGAAAGAGCAAAGACTCCTGCCACATCTTGATGAAACCTATATGCTAAATGCATTGCCATTCCGCCTCCCATCGAAAAGCCTCCTGGGATGCAAGAAAAAAAAAGGCTGGATTTTGCTATGTCTTTGTAACCCAACGTCCATTTTGATTATTTTTACCTTCAGACTTTTTTCTTTTATACATAATGCATTCAAAAACCATTTTGAATAACATAAAGGTTACAATGACCTTAAATCAAACCATGACTCAGTTAAGAAGCTGGATAGTTAGAGAACTGCTGAAGATTCATTACCGGGAGAGAAAGAAAAGAATCAAGCAAAAATGCCATGACTTTATAATCTATTCATGTACAGTCTTTACCAAGTAACGGAACACTGTGGCTTTATGTTCTGTGACAGTAATAAAACAAAATTCCAGAAACAGAATTATCCTTGTTCTTTATGCAGCTTGCTTTTCCCTTAGGATAGTACCATTCATGCATAAGAGATCTGTGTATACTGTTGTAACTAAATAATGGACATTCCTCACATTAGACTACCATACGCCAGCTGAGGTCTTTTTGTTGTTGTTGCTCCTTAGGATAGGTAATAAATAGTAGCGGGGAAACACAGCCATACACCCCATCTGAGTTCTAACAGGGTCGCTGAATTTAATGACTTGGTGTTCCATTTGTCTCTTAAGCTGCACTAATTCCTTAAGCGAGATAATTCCTCAGGTATGATTTTTACATGACAGATGCTTAATTTATTAGGAAAGACATCCAGACCACAATATTACTTTACAAGGATACAGCACACAGGCTATTATATTGGCTGCATCCAGGTAATGACCAGCACGAGGAATAACTGGCTTGCTGAAATCTCTCCTAGCACAGAGACAGAAACCAACAGAGAAAGGTTATGATTCCAGCTCAACTCAGAACAGTATTAGCACACAGAGTAATGGTGATACAATTGCCTTGTGCCAGGTAGTTAACTGGTGTTAATTAGGTGTGAAATTCTGAGCCCAGACCTTCTTACATGAAAGATACCAAATACAGATTGAAGGAGAAATACAAAAATAATAGATGAAAGACTAAACCATTTCGGCTTGCTATCTTTTTGAAGTGATTAAAACAAGACTCCAAAATTCAGAATGGCTCTTCTGCAAGGATTATGTGAGCCCCCCGGGCTGAATCAGGTTTATGCCAGACAGAAGTTTCACACAGCTGCCGAACAGAGCCCGGCCAGGAAGCAGCATGTATCTACCACTGAACTCAAGCTTAACACAACACCGCGTAACTTCGCGACTTGACTGGATCCTGCAATCACACAGTAAATCCCTAGGGCACATAAATTCAGAGGCAGAGAATGCTGCACTTTGTATATATTAGTTTGGCCACGGTGAGGCTGTCCCTAAAGAGGAATCCTCTCCAGCATGTTTAACTGCAGGTCCCGCCAGGTTTGAGGCCTTTTTAGCCCACACTCCTTGCTATGCTATGACTAGAAGATTTGGCTGGATTTGGGTAGGAAATTTTCCTGAGAACACTAGACAAATCCACACTCCAAGTGCTTTCCTCCTTCTTCCCTCACAACAGTGTTTCTTGATTTTTGACCAATTTCTGATCAGAGCCTATACTGTGTTTCTCATTCCTCTTTCTATTTATTGTCACTTTGTAGTCCTAAGGGATCGATCTGGCCAGATGTAGTGAACTGCAGATTCCTGCCTCACAGAACTTGAATCTTGGGGAGAAGGAACAAGAATATACAACTTGGAAGACTGAAGTCTTTCTTTCCTTTGCTAACACAATCCTTAACTGAATTAGGAAAGCTGTGTCCCCAGCTAGGGGATACACCTTCGGTCCTGTAGCTATGCACGCACCCAGGGTCTGTTAATACCCTGATATTTATCTTTGATAAATCAAGCTGGGACCTGATATTACCCTATGCATCAATCGTCACCTGTTTCAAGTCAAAAGCAGTACGTCTAGGTGCCCTGAGGCAGTTCAGAAGTACAGGCAGTTAAGGAAAACCATGGATGAGTGTGAAAGAATGAGCTTGGAGCACAGCTCAGAAACTCTCTTAGCCCATGTCACCTGAAATTTGGAAAAAAATCTGTCTTTACAGAAATAAAAATAATGAAAATGCTACTACAAGCCTTTCACCTGCATCAACATTTCCTACCAGACCTGCTCTCTCTCATACGCAGGAGAACTCTGTAAAGCAAAAAACACTGCTCAAGACTCACAAAGCAACCACAAAAATTTCAACAACATTGACCCTACATTCATGGAGACAGAAAGGAACAGCCAGCTGAGAAAGTATATAAAATACAACAGTTACCCAAGGTTCTTACATAAACAACATGTCTTGTGCTGAAGTTTTCTTTATTCTCTCCAGTGGAATCTGATCATTTACTTTATCACTTCCTTGTGACTATTCTGAGTGATGCAGTCATCCCAAGGCCCCCAAAATAGCGCTTACACTTATATATACCTATAGAGACCATTTTGCATTTGCTTACAAATAAATACAGATATACTTTGTCCACATACAAAATGAAGCCTATTTTAAGTAAGTGTTTGACAATACAGAAAAAAGTTTGCATTGAAAACTCATTACTAGTTTGTAAATGATTTAATCTAAAAGTTTGTACCCGTTTAGTCACAATCTGGCAACACTATCTGCAATTACTCACCAGCAGTCTTTGACAATGCAGTCACCTTCTGTTTAGAAGAATATTAGGTAATGGTTCCTTCATGTGGCTCATACTACTATGAGAATGTAATACAAAGGACTAGTTCTTTGAATTTGGTTTTCCAGGGGAAAACCTGCAGTTTATCACTTGATACCACAATAATCTCTGAGTAAACACAGTAGAGTAAAGGCTTCACAGACAATAAGTGGAATGAGCATTTGTGGTTTGAGGCAAAACTTTTCAGTTACAAAAACATAGCATTTCAGTTTAATTCTGGATTAGACAAAACACAAAAAACACCTGTCAAGACCTTTTAAAAGGAATTTAATATTCAGATTAGGGAAAAATAAGAAGAATGCACAGATATTACACAAAATAAATGTCCAAAGTGATACAATAGATAGCATGCAAGCAAAACAGAAGTACAGGTGTACACCATTGAGCTCAGCATAAAGAATACGGAAGCTTTACAGCACTGCTAAGCAGATTGTGTCATGAATGCTAATCAACATCAAAAATGACAGTACAACATTTCAGCCTTAAACGGGCAGAACACAGCCAGCCCTTTGCTTGGGATCAACGTATTCCCAAAGAGTACAAAGACTGTGCGTGAAAGTTTAGAACTTGCCAATTCGTTTCACAGACACAGCACTATCTGCTAGCATGCTTTTTTTCCATGTATTTTCCTTACACCTATGTCTAAACAGATCTTAATGCTTAGAAATAGTTAAAAAAGTGTTAGCTTTATAATGCTCAGGAGCAACGACTGCATTACAGTATTATTCCTTATAGACCCTACTTCAGGAAAACATTTAACCATTTACATTACCTTTAGTTTTCCTGCCTTGCAAGGAGGTTTATGGACAGGCTAAAAAGTAAGCACATACAAAATGGACTCAATTCAGCAAAGCACTTCTTTTTTATCATAGGATCACAGGATTTTCACACTTTCAAAATAAAAAATGTGAATCAGAAGGAAACTCCTGTGTGATATCTTATTAAAAACAAGATATTCTTTGCTGGAATACCATGTGTAAATACATTAAGGTAACCTAGCCACACAGTGATGTAACACGGAATGAATACAGACTGAATTTCTTGCCTGTAATTTATTCCTGCTTGAAGAAGACAGAACCCCTCATCACAGCTGTCATGTTTCAGTAATATGAGGAAGACAGAACCCCTCATCACAGCTGTCATGTTTCAGTAATAAAAACAAAAGCTTCCTTCTACAGCTTACAAATGGCCTCAGGAGCCTTTAAAAAATAAAAATGTTTGTGTAAAAGCTTGAGCTCATTTCCCTTACGTATCTTGATTTCTATTAATTTGCTCCTAATTCATATCTGTATGAAATGACAATCTGTTCCATGATGATACTTTAACATTATGTTAAGTTCAGAAAACCAAATATTTACCTACCGTCAAACTTCAGCTTTATTCATTTCTTCGTATTTTGTTTAACAATGTTTGGGTTTGTATCTAAGAAAATGACTAACGTTTTTATCTAAAACAAAGATTTCTTTATTTAACTTCTCTCTCTTTCAGATGTGTCCTGCATATATGACAGAATGCTAACAACTCTCCCTTTCTCTCCCATGCACCACATAAGGGCTTGCACTGACCCACTTCTGACTTCAGAATGCCCCTTAGGTTTTCATCCTTCTTCTTAGAAAGAACACCTTTCTAACAAACATGCCTTCTACACTGCTGATTGTTTCCTGAATCACACAAATCTGACCGTAAAATGCCTTAATCAATTTGTTGTAGATAATGATTATGGATTTACCAAACAACGCACTAGGTCACTTTTCAGGTCTTTCCAGTATAATTAAGTGATCAAAGCTATGTTTCACACTGGAAATCACACTGGCTGGAAAAAATCTTAAGTATTAATCCTGCACTGAGTACAGATTTTATGCTACTTGCAGAGTCAGAATTTTAGCTCTTCTCACACAGGTTAGAGTGTGAGAGGTGGGCGCTGCCTCACTGCAACACAGCATTAAAAGATGAAGAGGAGAAGCTACGCCCCAGGCAGTCAGGAGACAGGGATTCATATTTGGGAGAAGGGGTGGGTTTTGAGGTGTTTCTTTTAAGCAGTATTTTTTCCTTAGCTTCTCTTTAGTTAAGTGTTCTTCATCTTCCCTGCATTTCCTCAAATACATCAGTATAGCTTTGGTTATACAGTGGCAAGAGATGAATGGTATAGCGCCTGTGTCCACAGTGCAAGTGGAGAGACAATCACCCTTCTGTTCCATGAAGCTGCACCAGCACAGTCAGAAATTGCCTTTGCCCATTCTGTTATCATCATGACACATTACCTACTTTCGTTTAATCTTCTTACCATTCTCACAGCATTTTTCATTCTCAATTTATCCCTTCTTTTTGATATTTCA